TCCGACTAGTTCGATGGTAGGGTCCATTGACTAGAACTAAAACTGAAAACCGTTGCTGGCCTTGAGTGACCTTGGTCGTTTGAGTAAATGGTCAGGGTCACGAAACGCAGGAACAGACTACCAGTGGGGATGAGGTGATGCAGGAATTCAAAATTGAGACAAACGGCAATCTTTGTTCCAAAAAATGGTTTAAACTGATACCGGATTGACTCGCTGGGGTACCTGTCTGTGGAAACTCGGATGTTGGAGATATTTGAGAGGGAGTGGTCGTGCTAATGCATATATGCATATATATGCATATGGATATATATATCCATTGACCCCATAGGGCGAAACGAGCATTGTAAGTAGAATCATTGAACATGTGGAGGGGGTATACTGAAATCACAGGATTGTGATGGTTGTGTCAGACGTAAGGGTGCAGTGGGTTAGATCAAACTGTTCCTATAAGCAATTGGGCTAGGTAAATAGTTCGTTAATACTTGCAGGAAATTGATGAGGGGGCGCAGTCAAGAGTAAGAAGAAATTGGTTGCGGGTGTACCGTCATACGCTATGGAACTGCCATACCATCACTGACGTACTCCGGTCTCCCTGTGGCGTCATGTTTGTCGATCAGCCTGGGGATGTGCGATTTTTGTGGGAGGCGGAGTTTTCAGTTGACCATTGAGGTCCATTGAGCTGAAACAAGGCCGACGCAGGATCATAGGAAATTTTCGTTTGATTAGAGTTCCCTTTAGATGCAAAGCACAGACCAGTTGGAGGGGATAACGACCGTAGCTTGGGAATCGATGGGAATTGGACAAAGTCAGCAAGGTATGGTGAGTTTTAGAAGCACTCAGATAGGATGGAGTCCAATAAGAGAATAAAACAACTTGGCCCATTACAGCTGAGTGCTGACAACAAATGGCTAAATGAGATGGGATAAAGGTGGGTTTATACTTAGTAGTCCAGCAATAATGGACCCCCTTAGCACTTCGCTTTCCGCCAGCACTACGCGTGCCGAAAGAGAGCAGCTCCGTTCATCAGCTTCGAAAGTTTCGTTAGCTGGAGCGTATCGAGCTGATCGGGCTAAAAACCTGCTGGAAACACAGTCATGTGTACGGTGAAGATGGCTTGGAGGCGATGTTGTCAGCTTTGAGTCCATCTGACTCGACTCAATGAACACCGGATATCTTCGACATCATCTGATCTTATTGCTGCCAGAAAGGCCATACCAGCAACTAGCGACTAAGACGGTTCACACAGATCCAACAAACACCAGATAATCAGGAGCTTGAAGAATGACGGAGAACACTGGTGGATTTCGAAGGCCCGGAAGATGGAGAAGGCTTTTACTTTCAGGCAACAACCGCACTCCGTTTCAACTGATCTGATCAACGGGTCAAAATAAGGCAGGTGTCAGTAAGGCAATATGCAAAAAAGAAGGAACAGCAATTCGTTCCCTCCATCAGTCTTGAGCGATGGGCTGAGCACTCCCGAGAACAGGTCTCCTTCAACACAACCGCTGGAAGAGCCAACCGGGTCCAAATGGAACATTGACACCAACCCACCATCAGCAACCGAAATCCAGCGTGAGATTTCAATCCCTTTCAAACCCAGCGTGAGATACGAAAACTCAAAAGCAACAAGGCACCTGGCCCGAATGTTCTTCGCCACGCGCTCTTCAAAGAAGGTGAGGAGATCCTGGTGAACAGTCTGCAGAAAATTTGAAACGAAAACAGAATACCGGCCCAATGTAGCTCCTCGACCGTCATCCCAGTTTTCAAAAAGGGAGCAAGAACGTCACGCAAAAACCATTATGGTATCAGCCTGGTATCCGTCACATCCAAGGTGCTCTCTGGTATTTTGCGCAGACTGGTGGGTTATCGGGAGCGACAAATTCGTGAGAATCAAGCTGGGTTCCGCCCCGGTCAAGGGTGCGTCGACCATATCTTTACTTTGAGACGAATTCTTGAACATCGCCACTCCTTCAGACGTCCCACGTTGATCGTTTTTCTAGATTTGAAAGCTGCATTTGATTCTGCCTATCGTCAGCAACTTTGGCAGTCTTTCCGAATTTCTCTCCCTTATGAGGGCACTGTATGCAAACTCCTGTGGGGGCGTGCGAGTGTACGGGTCGCTTTCGCCTGAGTTCACCACATCCAGTGGTGTAAGACAAAACTGTCTTCTTTCCCCTTTCCTATTCAACTTTCTTATCGATATGCTGCTCGAAATTCTTCTGCCTGCCTCCGAAATGCTCCTGGGACGTTCCCTTACAGACAATGAGTATACGAACGAAATTGCTCTCCTTGGTTCAGATCCTTCCCAAATGCAAACAACTTTAACTAACCCAAATAAATCAGCCGCATCGTTTGGCATGCGCCTCACATCTTCAAAATGTAAAATTCTGATGCAAGACTGGATAGGATCAAACCCACACCTCATGCTTGCAGGTGGGCTAACCGACGTGCTTGATAAATTTGTTCATCTGGGCAGCTGTATGAGTTCCGGTGGACTGGCTGGAGGTGAGATTATTTCTTGAATCCAAAAGGCGAAGACAGCTTTTGCCAACCTCCGACACCTATGGCGCCGACGTAAGGTGAGTTTGTCTGTCCAGGGGAGAGTTTACACCGCGGTGGTTCGATCCATACTGTTTTATGGATCAGAGACGTGAGCCCAATGCGCAGAGGATACACGGAAGATGTCAGTGTTTGATCATCGGTGTCTCCGCAGCATTGATCGGGTCTGGTGGGAGCATCGGATTAGTAATGCCGAGGTACGCCAGATGGTCTTAGGAGAAAGGAACTCTCCCGCGATAGATGAATTACTCATAGGTTGCGCTGGTTGGGACATGTACTCCGCATGCCAGAAGATCGCCTGCCTTAAAGAGCTCTTTTCTCCGAGCCCTGTGCTGCGTGGAAGTGACCGAGACGTGTACAATGTGTGGCCTTGCAACGAAGTGCAATTCATGAATTGCACATACACAAATAAACTCATGCCACATCGGCCGTCGCGTGGTGCCATCAGCCGAGTCGCCTTACTTGCTGCATACAGCAGGGTGGGTAAGCGAAAATAGGCTACTGCTGACGCCTGCCTTCTTTCTCGTTCACATACTTTTTCTTCCCCCTCTCCCCACCCCATTAATAACTCTCTCCTTGTAGGCCCAGCACCTAGGAATGATGACTTTGTTCGTTATGCATTGGTTTTGCGTGCAGCATCTGCTCGTCACATGGTGCCGACATCTGCAGGAATCTCCAAATCAGTCCTCAAGCCTCGACACCC